ATTGGCAGCCCCAACCGTGAACGCATTGAGAGCAAGCCTGGGAACCGCACGCTCACTTGCGCTTCAATGTTTCAATGTTTCAATGCTTCGATGCTTCAATGCTCCACTGTTCGATCGGGCATGGGGGCTTTCGGCAGACGGCGAGCAGACTTATGGCAGACAAATCGACTCGCTGATGCTGCCACTTGACGCGCAATGCCGTCTGCGGCAACTGATCAACGGCCGAGATCATGTTACCTACCTATGCACACGATCTTCCCTTCCCGTCCCTTCGCCATCCACCTCCCATCAGCACTCCTCCGCCCAACACCTCAACACACCGTTCCACATAAAAATAACTCGTTCGCTGCTGTATGCATTTTCTCATGCATTCGCCAGTGGCTCATCAACATCAACAGAGCATAGAACATGCATACATATGTACATATGTATGTTCTTATATAGTATATGTATGTATGAGAGATATACATATGTGGCAGACGTAGACGCAGACGAAGACGAAGACGATCTTCACGATCGGTTCGCCTTGCTGGAGAACTTCTTCATTTTGTTACCGTTGCTCAAGTACCAATTCGTTTAAAATGGTATCAGTTCTAAGAAAAATATTATTTTTTTATAATTTCTCGAGTGCGTTAATCTGTTGAAGAGTCAAACGAGCGACCGGCAGATCGACTTACTCTGACTCTGGCTCTGACTATGTGAGTAGTGAGTGGCTCGACTGCATCATTTGTTTGTTCGGTCGGGGCATTATGGCGAGGATTGTGCATAATCACTGACGTAGCTCCGTGCCCCACAACCCTTCTATTGAGTGAAAACACACATCCATCCACAAAGAAGATGATGACGACGACGACGCCGAAGACGAAGACGTCGACATGGTTGTTGGCGTGTTGACGTGCCCAACAAAATGAAACGTCAATTTCAAGCGTTTTTCCTGGTAATAATTAGTAGCTGAGGTGGGCATTTAAATACTTGTTAAGCAGTCCTCCTCTGCCACATTTCTCTCTCTCTCCCCCTCCCTCTCCCTCTCCCTGGACCACTCTCTTCAGTTTTTCAATGTTGTTGTTGTGTGTATATTCCGCGTATTTATGTAAAAATATAACAGCCAAATAATGCATATAATTGCATTTTAAGTAGTTGTTGCTCTCCGCCCATCCCACGCCGCTCGGCTGCCGTATTGTATTACCCATGGCTATGTGTCAAATCTGCCCTCCAAACGCAATTTGTAAAATCTTAATAGACATAATTTCACGACTGTGCGTGCGTGTGTGTGTGTGTGTGTGTGTGTGTGCACCTACATTTCATTATGCTCGGTTGAAATTCCGGGAATTTCGTTTTACAATATGTGGAAATGCGAGGCCAGAGAACGGAAATGCGCTTTGTAAATGGGTGGCTTGTGTTTGCAACAAATTAAATGGAGTAAATTGTTTCTTTCGAATCTGCCGCATAATTAGTGCAGTCCAAGTTCTTTAGCTCTCTCTCTTCCTCTTTCTCTGATAATAACTGCTCGCTACTTGTATATAGAACAGGTGAATTGAAATGAAGAGGGTGAATTTTTAGGGCAATCAGACGACCCTTTGAAAAACAAGAAATTGTTAAAGAAACTCTAGGAATTTCCGAATTTCTGTATTTCAAAATTTGCATTTCATTGCAATTTATCACGAATGGATAGCATTTGAATAAGCAATTTTCGAAAATGCTTCGCCATCTTGTTCAAGTACGAAGCAATTGTTGTAGGCGCATGAGCTTCAAATTATCATTAAAAATTGTACGCTACTCGATTAAGAGTCAGACGTAATTCGAATGAAATTAAGTCATCCGTTTGGAATAATTTATACAAGTATGTATTCTCATGTATTTATGTACATAAATGTCAAATAGTCAGTAAATAGCTTAGAATTGTTGTTGAATTGCACATTCAGTTGATTGCTCCAATAAAATCTGTTGTAGTTCGAATCAAAGCCCTTCAACGTATGCGCATCGAAAAGAAAACATAAACTTGTCTTTTCCCAGACTTGGAAGCATATGCATACCAAGTTTGCTGCTGATCGGCTTAATACTTCCCGAGATACTTGCGTTCATACAGACAGACAGCCGATCTATCCAGATCGATTCGTCTTGTCGAAAAGCTGAATGATTTCTTAATATTTTTTTTTAACGTCATCGGGTAGCTCTGGTATTGACATTAATATTTTCGAAGCTTTCAGAAGGCATTCGGACTTAATTATATATTAAATATACTTTTTCACCAATACCAAATTCAAATGACGATTTGATGCGGCTTTCGGTTTAATTCCACAAAGTTTAGTTTTCTTATTTAAACTCAAAGTTTTATTGAGTTGAAGGGATTTTACTGTTTTCTAGTAATGCTAAAACAGTGTGCTCTTTGGGTGAGATGTGTGTATCGCTATTCCGGAAAACTCCAACTGCTTCCTGATCAGCAGGCTCGGCTCTCCATTGACTACAATCAATTCCCGAATCAGTTGGGAATTATGGCTAAAGATTTGTGCAAAAACTAAGCACATTTTTGAGCCAAAATATTGTGTTTGCTTTACATATGCTAATGCAGAATTAGAAAGGTCTCTTCACATTCCATGATGGCAATAAAACCTGCAATAACTGAAAGATCTAACTAATTTAAAATTAAAGAAGCAAGCATCCAAAGTGTTAGATCAAACCATTTATTTGCCCAGCATTATCTCTGGCCCATCAACTTGGCTAAGCAGCTCATTATTACAATAAAAACTATGACGCGTGTGCCTCTCTCTCTCTAGGATATACAATGCTTGTAGAGCAAATCAAAAAAAAAAAACTGTGGACAGGGGTGTGGGTAGGGGTGGGGGTCGAGGTGGGAGTTGGGCCATGCTCAAATCTGCTGAACACATGTAAAAGTCAATGGCAACAATGTTGTTGAACAGCCCCAGCCCCCGCCCCCGCCCCAGGCGCAGAAAGCTGTGTGGTTTGTTTCTGAGCCCCTGGAATCAGATACGAATATGCGAGTATACGAGTGCGTTTATGTTTAGATGCGATATATAGGCCGGGGGTTGATTGCTGGCTGGGATGGCAAGTGCGTAACAAGTTTTGAAAGGCCGGGAGCAGACGATGCCATCGATGCTGTTGTTGTTGTTGCTGCTGCTGCTGCTGCTGCCTGCTGATGATGAGGTTGCTGATGACACGTGTAAGTGCAGCAACATTGTCGCAATTATCCTTTTGCGGTGGCAAGGCAAGAGGGCGAACGCCTGCCACTCCCCTGATGGATGTTTCTTTGCACATTGGGTGGTGGGCACAGCAAATTGTTTTTGTTTTTGTTGTTGTAACTGCTACTGCTTGTTGTTGTTGTTGTTGTAGTTGTTGTTTTTGTGCTGCTGATATTAATTTGTTGCGTTTTGTTTGTTGTTTATTTCGAGTGGATTTCTTTACCACCCACAGCGTGAAAACGTGACCTTAGCGCATTTCGCGCGCCCAATGATAATGATTTTTGCGTATGGCCGGCCAACGACCCACTACTACAACAACAACAACAACAATAACAATGGAATGTTGCTGTTGTTGTTGTTGCTATTGCTGTTGTCGTCGTTCCCATTGATGCTTTGCGGACTTATTAGCGCTAAATGAACACCACGCACACTCATTTTGATCTCATGAGGCGAATTCGTCATCATCAACGCTGCCGCTCGAAATATTTTCGTGCGCTTTGCTTTGCTCAATACTATACATACATATACAAGTATACATACTTATACTTATAAAAGTACATATATATAAGAGTATATAAATTTGTTCATTTGTTGCTGTTGCTGTTGTTGTTGCTTTGTTGCTGCTGCTACTTTTTTGTGCTTTGAAGTGGGAAAGTAGCTTGTTAAACACTTAACGCTTCCATTGGCAGGCATTGCGGGAGACGGACCCAAATTGTGGGTCCGGGCATTGGCCATTGGAGTGTAGTACTATGTAGCCCGAGATCCGCTCATGTAGAAATTGGTTTTGGCCATTGATGAGCATGAGCCGTCTATGCCATGCGTAATTGAGGCAACAAAATAGCGCAAATACTTGAAAAAAAAGTTACAAACACAAACTTTACAACCTTGATTAATAAACGATTACATAGTTCAAGTGTTAGGCGACGAGTAATTACTAAAGTATTAACTAAATAAAGAAAGAAACTGAATTTTGAAACCCGTTTTTGGAGATTTACTTACAAAATATCCACAATTTTGTTGAAAGATTTTAAGCAAAACTCGCGATATTTGAAGCTTAATAATACATTTTTAGAGTATCTTTAAATAGTTAGTTTATGTTATGTAGGAATTGTGAACTGAATTGGAAAAACGTCTGAAGAAGAGGAGGGAAAATTAGAAATAGGGCATAGGAGAATCTACATACGAAATCCGGACGTTCATATTAACAGAAAGGACAGATGGACATGTCTGGACATGTAAGAATTTAACAAGTGTGTTTCCAATTTAGTTTGACTTTTTACCCCTTAGGTGCTGGGCATACAAATCTTTTAATTTATCTAGCCTTTATCTTCTTTCAACAAAAGCGAAATCTTTAATTTTCTTGATGTTTATTTCCTGCATTTCTATTAAATAAATACCTATTGCCCACCATAAAATATTTATTCTGCTTGGACATTCCCACCCCATACGGCTCCTTAATACAATATTTGTGCTGTAATAAATACTACCATAAGGTTTTCCTTACATTCTTAACGTCAGTCGACCATAAACTAACCACAAATTGTTCAGCATACTTGCCATATATAGCCAATATCTTTCAATAGCCTTTTAAATCTAATATTTTCTGCAAATTACTTTTTTATAAGTGCATGAAGCAATGGCGATGGAAGTGCTTTGCAGAATGCGTCTTTTAATATTTAAAGAAATACTTACGCTTCAATGTTATGCATAAATAAGTAATTCATTTCACCTAAAACTTCCCCATTCTGCCTGCAGTGCTGTCCTGTAAAAGGATCTCAAAAAAAAACAACAAAGAGCTTGGAATTGGTTTTCCTTTATAAATATATTTCAACCAGCTTCAACAACACAGGAAATCAAGTCACAAATGTTCCTTTCGCTCAGCCATGTCTATCGCAAGTCCAATCCAGTCTATTCTGTGAACGCCTTTCCCCGGTCCCCGTAGTCGTCTCGAAATAGGCCATTTCCATTCGTGAACATACCCACCATGGTCGAAGAATCGCAGTAAGTCGGTGAACAGGTTTAGGGTATCCTTTTAGTATACAGAAGATGTTCTGCGAATACTACGACGCAAGGTTTTCAATTCTTTGTCCTTTGTCCAATTCTGGTGCGCAATAGTGTATAAAATGTCGGATGGATACAAGTATCCAGGCATTTGCTGTCAATTATAGTAAAACGTTAACAATTGCACAAATTTTGTCTTAACTCTGTTATATACACTTACAATGTTAGGAAGACACACTTAGAGATTAGAAGTTCGGCGAATTCTCAAAGTCGCCAAAGGAAGTGCTAAATATTTGCATTGCTTAAGCTGCGAACTGAAAATTCGAGTTTGTAGAGAAGATTTTACTTAATTTCCTATGCCTTTTCCATCACATACTCGCCAGCAACTTCATTGTCTTATGGGGACATCATTCTCCATAAAACATCTGAGCTGCTGTAGTCCTGTTTTCTGATTCCCTGTGACTCTCCGACCATGGCGGATAATAGTCCATCTTATATTTGCTATTTTTCGGCGACTACGTAGACCGTGGAAGGAATTTCAAAGAGAAAATTTGACGAAAAAACACATTTACAACATTTTCCACTACAAATTTAGCATTTCACTTTTTCACAAACAAAGAAATAAATGTTTTACATATTTTTTAAGAGACGCCCGACCCGGACGAGGAGCTGAATTAACTGAAATTAATGTTGTGCAAAGTCAGGCACATGAATTCAAACGCCTACTTTGCGCCCAGTGTAGAAATATTTCCCTAGTTGTGACAACAATACGGACACCTTAACTTTTAATCAGAATTAGATAGTAGTCTAATAGTTGATTTCAGTTCTACCAAATATTCAGTGCATTTGTCCGCCTTGTTCTACTCGGATTCTAAATAACTACCAACTCCATACGAGTGTGTGTATTGAAATAACAGCTTAGTCAGCTCGCATCGAATGAAGTGTTGCTTGGGTTGTGGTGGAAAGTACAAATTGCATGAAGAGGCAGCCGTCCCGAACAATTGACTCATCCAACCCACAATAACGATGAAAATAATTGAAACACTTTTACACATTTTGATTTCTGGAGGCCTCCAAATTGAAAACAAATCAAAACTCATCAAACAATTAGGCCGGGCTAACAAGCTGCATGTGTAAAGTGCTGTCATCATCATCATCATCATCATCGCCATCAGCCCCGACCCAAGGAAGTGGGCAATCTTGAGAGGAACGGCAGCTTTGAGCGGTGGCGCGACTCAATGAGGCCTATTATCGAATTTTGAAAAGCGTAATTATCGCATGACAAATCAAACGGAATGTGTTATATTTACTCAATAAACATTATCGTATTGAGTTCAACGAGATCGCGCCTGGGAACCCAAGCCTCTCTCCGTCTTATTCCCAAACTTGTATTTGTTTCGCTCACACATCCAAAGTATTATTATTACTCGTATGAGTTAGGCATCCGATCGCCCTACTACTCGTATAATAAATGAGTCATTCGAAAAGCGTACTACCTACTTCCTGTTGCAGTGCCCAGCACTATACTTTTGATTACTGAAAAGTAGGAAGTAATGGATAGCAATGGCAAATTTTAGCAAATACTTTACGTAATAGCAGTAGCTGGCATCGATAAATAGTTCGATGAATGTAAAAATGCAGCTGTTTGAAACCTTAACCCTTAACTATATTGCAATTGATTTTCATAAATGATAATCTAATACATTCAACTAAGCCCCAATGTATTTAGATTAGGGGCATTTAATTGAATTCCAAGCAGCTTCAATTTGCAGCTTGCAACTATCCAGACCATTTTAAATAGTCCATTTAAATAGTTATCAAACCTATCATAACATCCTATTCAAAATAAACAGATATTAGGCTTCTTCAGTTCTTCAAGGATTTGTTCCTTTGTTAAATGGAATCAACGACTTGTGCCGAGAGCCGACTATTTGAGGGGAATTTGCTCTGCAAAAATTTAGTTATAAAATTACGATTATATTTACGATTTATATTTGATTGTCGGCAACAAATATTCGTCAGGAATGGCGTTTTTCTTGGAGCAACTATTTGATTTTCGGAAACAGGAAGGTGTCTCAGAAAGCCACATCTGGCGAATACAATGGCTGGGTTTGGTCAAAGATTTCGCTAAAAATCATGCTGGAATGTATCGTCGCATTATCGTGATGATTAATCCACTGAAAAAATTACCTCATTTGCCTCACGACGATTTATTGACAGAATATACTTTACTAGTCCCATATTTTTCTTATTAAACGAGATGGATACACGAAGAGAAGTTTCCTACAACCCTTACTAAAGTCTTGATGCCACTCATCTCCCGATAGAATAAAATATTTCTGCAATACTTTCCATAAATCCGTACGAACTGCGGGTTTCATTAAAAATTTAACTAGCTAGCAAACTGCTTGTACAATTTTGTGTCCATTGTAAAAATTGTCTACCAACTTATATAAGTAACACTTCTGTATTAAATGATTTGTAGATGCTGGTCACGATTCAAAGCGTTTTAGATTAACAGCGTTATTCCACCAATAAAAATCAAATAAGTCTGTTAACAACTATAGTATGTGTTCTTTGATCATTTTTGAAACACTTGAGGCTAATTATGCCAATGGGTAACTGTTATAGATCGTGTCTAAAAAATGTAATAAGTATGCTCTAATTAAGCACAGAAAGCTAAAAATATATTCATACTTGTATGTATTTGCTATTTATGGGACCGACACGACTCAACAGTGCATTCAACCTAACCGCTTAAGAGACAACCGGCAAATGAATAATAATAGACAGGCACACATCCATACATATACAAGTATGTACATACATGCATACATACATACTTATACATATAAACAAAATGAAAATAAAGACCAAAGCCTTAGCTAAAGCTTAAGATGAGCAAAGCGGGGGCACAAATGCTCGAACAAACACACAAAGATGAATAAAATGAATAAACGGCCACAATACACGAACTGTGCACATAACAATAATAATAATAGCAATAATAATAGTGGATTGTCATGATCAGTCTAATTTCGCGCTAGTGTTGGCGTCAACCGCGTACTCGTAATCGTATGTGTATGAAAAATACAAATTTCGGTTAATTTGCAAATCGTCCAACAGCCTTTCACTTTTTTCTGCCGTCGCATTGCTGTCGCATCGCAAAATGGAGAGGCAAAAAATGCAGGCAGACAAACGCACACACACACACACACACACATGGATACATATACGAAAAATATACATAATTAAAAAGGTGTTATTATATTTTCACGCCTCGGCAGTGCGGCAGCAGTGGAAAAATCAACACGCTAACCGGGAATCGGCTCGCAGAGCAGCGCTCACAAAAAACGTCAACGACTTGGAGCGACCAAGCGACCAAGCGGGCAACCGTTTGACCGTTCGTCCGTTCGACCGTCCGACCGACCGACGAATTATTTGCAGAATCATCAAATTAAAGGTTTGATGTTGATTTCAACAACCTCCGCAAAGTGAGCGCGGGCGGGCGGCCATAAAGGGGCACTCGCCTCAACATCAGATCCCGGTCAGCTATGAAACTGGAAAGTCATGCGCTGCACCGCAAGCGGCACTGCTGCGCTGCTGCTTCTGCTGCTGCTGCAGTGGCAGCTGACTGCACCACCGCGCACAGTGGCTTAAATAGTACTTATCCAATTCGAAAAACTTGCAACAGTACAAACATCATTCTCCCAGTATTCAAAGCACACGTCCACTAATTTTCGCTTTAATTTGAAAAACGTAGCAAGAGCTTTAAAAAAAACCTCGCGAGACTCCTAGCAGTGATACCCACTATCCTGAGCGGCTCCAAAACAGTAAGTGATACAAAAGCAGTGTTGATAAATGCTTTTTGAATGGGTCTAACTTCAAATCGTCACAAACATTGGTGATCATGTCGAATGTAATAGCCATCGAAAACTTTGAGATCTCCGTACCCCGAACAACTTCGACCATAGTAGGAATACAGAGAAGAAGAAGAAAAAGTATGTACATAGCTTACAAATATTGGACATTATCGACGAAAGCCTGTAAAAGCCTGGTGAGGTGGAGAAAAATAAAGAAAATGGAATAAACTCGCGTGTTCCCTAGGGATAGGTTTGGTTATTTGCTCAGCATTTTTTTTTTTCATTTTAAGTTTGAAAGGATAGTAGTTTGCGTTTTAATTTCGCAAAATCAATTGCGATAGTAAAATTAGCGGTATACCTGCTTATAAAAAAGGTGTATTCTAATGAATTAGATAAAAATACAGTATGAGATATCTCATAAAAAATCGATTAAGACGTTTAAGACGTTTAAGAAAGGTCCACTTTTTCCACACCGTCTTACATGATTATGGGTAGTTGATTATTACGATAACGATTACGACAAAAAATTGACAAGAATGCAAATATGCTTAAATTTATAAGCAACAATACTTCTTCAGATTCTCGTATGCGCTTTTTATATTTATGTAAATGCCATTTCTGGTAAATATATTTCTTTGGTGCTGATCAGTTTTAAATTATATTATATTACAATTATACAATTATTCGAATACTTGTATTAAAGTCAATTCCTATCCTATTCAATCGTAAAAATAGAAATCACTTTTCATATTTTTAGATTGAATTTAGTCCTATTTGAGTAGCACTAGCGGCTTAAATATGTTTTCAGTTTATTATAATAATCAGATATTATAATAAATAAATTATTGTAGTAAAATTTAATTCAAAGCCAGCAACTCATCTTTTATATTTTATTTGCCTGATTTTATATCCAAAGTTTCTGCGTCAACTCCAAGGTCAGTCATGCCTTTTTTGTTATCGATAAACATCGATCTTATATTTTGTACCAAATAAATTTTTGTAGTAATATTTTGATCGAAGCCAACAACTTATCTTTCATATTTTATTTGGGAAATAAAAATCCTAAGTTTCTGCGTAAATTCCAAGGCCAGTCATGCCTTTTTGTTATCGATAAGCCCAAAATGAACCACTGTCATCGCCGTCATCGCTTTCAACACTTGAACGGCGAATGCCACTTTGGCTGCTGATGCGGACCGGGAACGCCGAACAGACACCGACGCGTTCACGATGAACAGTGCAGGGCTGCGAGTGTCTGTATAATTTTCGTTCGTTTTCTCGAATTGGCTGTCATAAGTTTTGAGTAGAAAATTGGTGTGCAACAAACAACAACAACAACAACAGCTATGTTGACTGAGCTGGCAAAGCAGTGCAACTGTTGTTGTTTTCAAGTGTAGCACAAAAAAAGGATTTCTTGATTGCGATAATGAGTTATACTTAATTTTCAAGCCAGCACCAAATTAAACTGGAACCAGCGAACAATTCAGGGACCACTTGACACAGCCCAAGGGTCAGGATTGGGGTACACAGAAGATACCTTTGACTGTGACCAAGATAACAAAAAATAGACAATGAATAGACAAACAACAAATCAACCAGGAATCAATTTAAAATGAACGCCAAACTACCTTCATAAAA